GGCAACGATCGACCGGAAAAGTGGAAGTGCAGGACTGCAGGCGCTTACCTCAGGCGATGGGCGGGCCGGCGGGGGAGCGGCCGAACGAGCAACCGAGACGTGCGGCGGTAGGGAAGTCTGGGGGGCGACGAGAAGGGACGGCTGCCACCGCTGCCGCCGCTTGGGTAGTGCTCGGACGGGGGCGGAAGCGGAACCCTAGGCGGGGAGGAGGAGGATTTCAATTTGGGAGGTGGGGGAGGAGGGGAGGCGGCCGGAAGGGAAGGAAGGGGAGGGGAGGAACCGAGTTAGTAGTTGCGAGCTTTGATGAGAACCAACTGCTGTCTGAAACCGGAGGGAGCGGTGCATGATAGGGACGAGAGATCCGACCGTTGAGTCCGGGCGGGCCCCAGGCCCGGAGCGGCGCGGATGGCGTGGGCCCACGTGGGCGCCGTGCACCGACGCGCCTGCCGTTTGGGTTTGGTACTTTGGTGCGTGGCCGTGGTAGCCGTTGGGGAACGAATCTGCGTCGTCCGTCGTGGGGAACTGCATTCTGCAACGCCTGGAAAATTGAATAGAGAATTCCTTATTTCACACTAAAAAAATAACCCGTTTTTTTTTTTTTTGGCCCTCGAAAAATTTTCGTTCCCTATTTGACACCGAGTTCAACTTTCGTTCCTTCCATGACACTCCGCGTTTTCCATTCGGCCACCGTTAACTGCGCTGTGAAAAGACGATTTTGCCCTGTGGGCCCCACCACCCTTCTCCCTCCTCTCCTCCAGTTGCCGTGTCCTCCCCGGTCCATGCATTACGCCACCGAGGAGAAGGCCGTCGGCCGTCCCCGCCACTCATGGGCCCGCCGAGCCCATCCACGGGCAGCCGTCGACGCACATTGGATCCGCCATGGGTGCATCCTCCACCGTCGAGCCAAATCCGGCTTCCCACCATGAGATCCAGTAGCTCTTGCCGCCTGCGTTCGCCCTCGATTCTTGCCATGCGAGCTCGCCAGATCCGTGGGTGGATTCGCGCTTCGAGGCCGGATCCGCGAGCCCCGAGGCGAGATCTCGCCGAACTCCACCGTCGTCGTCGTCGCGCCGCTTCGCTCCACCGCCGCACCGTCGTCGCACTTCTAGTCCACCACCGGCCGCCGAGGCCGGATCCAGCGCTTCGAGGCCGGATCCGTGAGCCCCGAGGCTGGATCTGCTGGATCCGCGCCTTCGAGGCCGGATCTCGCCGGACTCCACCGCTGTCGTCGTCGCCACACCACTGCTCCCATCATGCCCACCGTCGTCGCCGCTTCTAGTCCACCGCCGGGTTGCCATCGAGGAGAGGGAGGAGCGCGGAAGGGAGGGGCGCCACCGCGCCTAGGGAAGGGAGGGGCACCGCCGCGCCATGGGAAGGGAGGAGCGCCGCCGCGCCATGGGAAGGGAGGACCACCGCCCGTGCTCGGGAGGGGAGAGGGCTCGGAATGGAGAGTTGGAGGGAGGGAGGAGAGAGAGTGGAGAGGGAGAGAGTGGGGGCGCCATCGGGAGGGATCAAGCGCGTCTGTCAGCTCATGGGAGAGACGGAGGGAGCGAGGCGACTGCCTGGAGGAGAGGAGGGAGAAGGGTGGTGGGGCCCACAGGGGCAAAATCGTCTTTTCACAGCGCAGTTAACGGTGGCCGGATGGAAAACGCGACGGAGTGTCATGGAAGGAACAAAAGTTGAACTCGGTGTCAAATAGGGAACGAAAAATTTTCGAGGGCCAAGAAAGGAACATGTCATTTCTTCAGTGTCAAATAAAGAATTCTCTCAAAATTGAAATGACGAGGAGCGATCTAGCGCTGACCGTGGCCTGGAAAATTTTACGCGTGTGAACGAATCCAGTGGACGGGGAAAATAGGAAAATTTAGAGAATTATTATTGGCACCCGAATGTCCGAATGCAAATAAATATCAAATAAATATTAGATGCTGTGTTGACCTACCTCCATGATAAAAAAAATTATCTTTGCTCGCACACTTACTGCGCCGCGCACCCGGCCTCTTTCCCATCATGTTCCATGCGCTCGCCTTGCTCAGCCACGGTGGAGCTCAACCGTGCACCAACCTACAACCTCATGCTGCTTGGCCTAAACATGGCAGAGAAGAGAGGAAAGAGATATCACTGCAACATTAAACAAGTTGTTGCAACATCTTGAATCATTTTATGAAACAACTAGAGAAAAACCGGTGCAACATTAAAGCACAATTGTTGCAACATCTTGAATCATTATGAAAAAAACTAGAGAAAACTAGAAGCAACATGATAGAGAATGTTTCAAAAAAAAACACTAGGTTGTTTGTTGCACCATCGGGAAAACATGCAACTGCAACATAGAAAAACACATGTCTATGTCCATCTCGATCTCGACCAAACAAACCAGCAACAGGCAAAGAAAATCCATTGCAACAAGACCAACTTATTGTTGGGACATATAGATATAATTGCAGCAACATCCAAAAAATACATCTAGAACATAAACAAACATATCAAAATCTGCTTATTATGCGGTGCAACATCACGAGTGTGCAACGGCTGCAAAAAGATCAATGCAACATAAACAATCATATGTTGCAACATCACAAGAATGAAGAATCCGCTGAAACAGATCTTGGCGAGGAGCTCTAGCCCTGGCCACACGGGCACTACTCTGCCTCTTGCTCCATGCCTACAAACGTGTCAGAGCCTCATGCTCCTCCAATGTAGCAACAGAGATCCATCCAAGAGGGGGGAGGGGCTAGTCTCGAAGTCAGAGGAGCACGGGGCTTAGCCTGTGCGCTGGAGCTCGTCGACACCGGTGCTGCCCCTGCCCCTGTGTCACAACTCTCACCTCCAGGCTTCACCACGAGAAATCGCTTCGTCTTTGAGATGGCAAGCATGGGCAAGCTCGTTGTGTCATCTGTTTGGCTTGGTGTGAGAGGAGGACGAGGAAGATGTGAAGCGAGAGATGTGTTCTGGGTGGAGATAGTAAAGACTGGAAGTAGAAGATAAGAAAGGAAATATGAGGATATGCCTTCGACGAGTGGATAAGAATGAATGATTAGGTGATAGGGAGAGGAACGTGAGGCTCCATAGGCGTCCGATATTTTATTCGAGTTCGACAAAGTTAATTAAAAGAATAAAATGCTATATTTAGTAGGGGTGATTTGGGGTGGGGATCTGCGACGAAGTCGAGGTAGGGCGAGTGCATGGCGACGATCCCTTAGGGTCCTCCGCCTCTAAATGAATCAGTTGGATATGTTATGGGAGCAACTCCAATAGGCACCCTGATCGTTTCTCTAGATACAAGCTATGGTCAGCTTAACATGGTATTCTCATTTAACGTTGTGGTACATCAACAAATTTGCGAGTTGATAGGTTAATTACAAAGAGAAAGAAAGAGTTTATTTACCCATTGTCACCTTAGAAACTCATGCACTCCATATTCGTTCACAAGTTTATGTGTGTCCCTGAGACGTTTTTTTACAACAGTGTCCCTAAGACGTTGATGCTGGTGAGGCATCGATCATGATCTTTGGCAAACTTAAGACGTCATCAACAACAATCTTAAATCGTCAGCTGATGTGGCAGTGAGAGACACTAAAAAATAAAGTTAAGAGTAAATCCACGCATCACAAGGTGAAGCCAAGACACATTGTTCATTGGTATATGTGCAAGACTATCGCTTCGCAGCTCGCCAATCTATTTCCTTTTCTTATTCTCTTTCTTCCTCATTGGACAAAGTCTGATACATGCTAGCGACTTCGACCACCGTTGATGCCGCCCTTACGTGGTGGTTTTCCATTGTAAATAAACACACATGGAGCTTGATCTGGTTGTAAAGGAGAACATGGTTGGAGTTTAATCAGGAATGGGGAATGCAATTGGGGTTGGACTGATTTTATAGGGCAGAAGAAGTGGTGGGCGGTGGCATGCAACACTAGAATTCCCTCTCACAAATATATGCATTATGTCTCATCGGTTATAGAAGGTGAGGAGAGTACCAAACCAAAAACGTCAGAGCAAAATAGATCGGCAGAAAATAGGAATGTAAGAATTCAATTTTCTAGCTAAGATCAAACAGCTAAAATGATAGCGATGACGTGACTCTATGTGATTTCAATGATCACTAGTGGCCTCCGTCAGGAGATAGGAATAGGATTAAAGCTAATACGTACTCGGCACACGGTGTGGGACACAGGCATGCATGATGACGAGGTTGGACGCAGGTCATGCAACGACGCGCCCCGATTCGCGCATGAAGGACGTGGGATACTACCCAGTGGCCACCACCACGCACCCCCACGCCCCACAGCGCCAAGCAGTACATGTGACCTATCCAAATAAGCCCAAGCAAAAGCGGCCCGGCCGGCGCGCGCATCTCCGCCGCGTCCTCTTGTCCCCGTCCACCGCCGAGCCTACCGCGCGCCATGCAAAGGCAGCTTGCTTTGCGGCCGCACAGCCCCGCCCCGCCTCGCCCGGCCCTCACGTCAACCCGCACTCGACGACGGACGCACGTCACGCACCATGCGCGCGCGTGGTTCGCCGGCCCCCTCGTCCCATCGGCCCTCCCCGCACGTCCGCAACGACGACGACAGAGTCGGCTGACGAGAGCCGCACTGGGCGGGCATGCAGTGCAGCGCCCACACACACACGACGACGATAAATCCCTCCCCCAGCGAGCTCACGCTGAGAATTGATCGCGAGCACCCCACCGGAGTTAACACGCGAGCCCCACCGGCACACAGCTTAGCTAGCTCGATCGATCGCCGGCCAGCAGGCCAGCCAGCGCTTGCCGCACGGCAGCACCCCCGGCACAGCACCCGTGACGTGATGTGTCCTCAACTGACAACAGACAACAGCTAGCTAGCCCACAGCACCGAGCCGAGTACACGTCCTGCGGTAAGCCCCTGCAGCTTCTAGCCTCAGCTCGCTAGCTGGTGTCCGTCCTACTTGTATTGTTACGTCCCTGCACACAGAGAGTGAGAGAGAGAGAGAGCCAGGGCGAAGTGAGGCCGGGATTGATGGCGGGGATGGCTGCGGCGGCAGGGTCGTCGTCGACGTCCGGCGCGGCGATGCTGTGTGGAAAGGAGGAGAAGGTGCTGGGCGTGCAGATGGCGCCCGGGAGCTGCCCCTACTGCGGCGGCGGGGTGGCGGCCACGGACGTGGAGGCCAAGTGGGTGCTCTGCTGCCTGCCGCTCTGCCGCAGGACCAAGCGGAGGTTCGCCTGCACCGCCTGCGCCAGGCGCCTCGTCACCTACCCGGCCATTCTGCATGACTAGAAGCGAAGATCGACATCATCTCGACCGCCGGTCCTTCCGATCCCTTCCGTTCTTCTGTCTTCATCTCCATCCGGCACTCCCATCTCCAGACGAAGCGATCGAAGAGATGTGGTTTTGGTGGTCGCCCGTTTTGGTAAGAAGTTGAACTCGAACTTGAACTTGTTGGCAACTTTAGCCTACTAGCTAGATCGGTTTTCAGTGCGGATATATATGCTCTTGGCGTTTTCGAAGTTGGCGTTTTTGCTATTATATATGAGATCGAAGGCTCGTGGTTAAGCTATCCAAGGATGTTCTTTTATCTTCGTTCACACATTCGCTGCCGATCGATGGATTGCTTGTTCAGAGAAAGAACACAAAAAATTGCGGCTTTTCTTTGGCCGTCACCTACATACGTCTACGTACGGTGCGTGATGTGTCGCAGACTCTCGACCAGCCCGATCACACGGTAACCCGAGCGAAAAAGACGTACCCCCTCCTACGTGTACGAAGTGAGTCCAAGTGTGTGATGGCAGATTCCCGCTGGATTTGCGTGGACTAGTATTCTGGTGCACAACGACAACGGTGTCATTGTCGATCCATTGATAGAGCCTGCAGCCTCCAGGTTATCGCGGACCCGGCCATCCTCTCGCCACACACACACCTTCTGCCATGTACTCCCTCCACCTAGAAAAGAGTGTTACTACGGGTTACGCGTACAGATAAAAATAGTTCATATTTGATCAAATTTTTAGTGAATATTATTTATATTCACGTCTCCAAAATAATTTACTATAAAAATAGATTTCGTAATTAATCTAATAATATTTATTTAATATCATAGATATTGATACTTTTTTTGCCATAATTGATCAAATTTAAGATATTAAACCATGACACTGTGCTAGAATTGCATTCTTTCTACGTAAATCTCACATGTCATATCCTGCTCCTCCTTCTTCCCTTCTTTTCCTGTTCCACGCATGCTTCCCCATGCCATTGGTCGCCACTAGGTTAGGGGCAAGGAGTCAACGGTTTAGGACTTTAGGTTCTGGGGTTTCAGGTTTGTAGCTCGATGGTTGTCAATTTTGCAACTATCTAAGGTTAAAAGGATGTCTGGGTGTCAGGATAGCCGAGACGAGGCGCTGGGACACCATTGTTTGGGTGGTGGGAGATGTAGTTCCGTTTTGGGTACGACATAGTTGGAGGTGGTGGTGACATAGGACGAACGATAAAATGATGGCAACATAGCGTTGCTGACTTGTTGTCAGCCCTAGGTGACAAAAGTGGTGACGACACCTAGTCATGAGCGAGTGGCTTCCTGGAAGCGTTGGCGTCTAGGCAAGACGCGGTCCATGGGGGTCAGTTCGGATCAGATCAGATGTAGGTAGTTAGATATAAGAGACAAATCAAGAAGTAGATAGAAGAAGATGGATGATATGAGTGGTATGTAGGCCGTTATTTTGCCCCCCAAAAAAGTCCATTTTTTTTAATCTCTCTTTTACTATCGATGGACTCTAGGTTTCCTTTTAAACTCTAAACCGGATAACTTTTCTCCCTCAGCTCTCAAAACCATATAAATTACCTTCCTACCCCTCTTAAAAGTGGGGTTTAAGGTGATTTCATCCTTTTTAGTTGAGAAACAAATCTAGTAACCTGATAAGATTTGTGTCGACGTTTCGGAACCGGGGGTCCTTAACTGACTAGTGAATTTGTGCTGCGTGCTCCCAATTTCAGATGGTGATGCAAAGAGACACAAGGTTTATACTGGTTCGGGCAATGGATGCCCTACGTCTAGTCTGAGAAGATGTTCTTGTATTCCTTGCACCGGGGTGCTCGTAGTAGGGGGTTACAAGCTGGGCCAGAGAGAGGGAGTTCGTCCCATATCTCTGTGAGGGGAGGTGATATGAATTACAGAATGAGGCGTGTTGTTCGTGCGAGTATTCGTGACTCTATCCGCCATCCTCGAAGCAACGGTCCTGCCGCCTCCTTTTTTATAGCCGCAGGGGAGGAAACCAGAGTACATAAGAGAGCTACACGGAGCAAGGACTATTCGATGACGATTTACTCTCGGGCAAAGCGGCATGGCGTTGTCGTGGGAGTTTCCGTAGATGTCTAATCGGTATGGTCTCCATCGCAAGTAACATGTCGCGCATTTGTTGGCTTGGTGGATTGCGAAGCTCGGCGGCCATCATAGCCGGTCGTCTGCGAGGCTGTTGTGCCGAGGCCCGTTATCTTAGGCTCGCCGTGCTGAGGCCTCGAGAAGTGACCCAGTGCGAGATCGGGTCTCGGTGGCCATCAGTGCGAATAAAGGCGAGACGTGCGCCTCGGGATCTGATACTGTGTTGTCGAGGGGATGGTAAAAAGGTGATCGACCGTTGTCCCGTCGCTCCTATTGCAGCAAGACCGCCGATCGTGGCTTATGTAAGCGGGTGCAAATGAGCGTTAATCGGATCGACGACCGCCAGAGAGACCTTTGAGGGCGACGAGGTTGCGGGATTTGAGCTCGGCCTCGGGCGAAAGTGAGCGCCGCCAATTCGTCCGAGAGCCCTACCGGGTCTCGGGCGAGGCGAGACGGCGAGGCGGAGAGAAAGATCGATGAATCCGAGGCCCGTCGAGGGGCGCGGCGAGACGGAGCGGTTGGTCCGCTGATTCGAGGCTCTGAGAACCCGCTTCGACTCCCCCACGCTCATGATGTCTTTGGTGCAGAGTTAGGCAAAGACAATGGTCGGTAACCCCGCCTCTGTCTGTCAGTAGATGGTAGGAGGTTGACGCGATCGGCGTGTAGTCGGTCACTTCACCATCTTGTGCCATCGTGCATCTGCTCGAGTGGTTGGGCGCTTGGATGCGACGTTCGGTCGAGCGAGTTCGGTCGAAGAGAGGCGGTCACGAGGTCGGTCCCGAGCCGCCTCGCTGTGAATCGGAGAATCGGCACTTCTTCCGAGGCCCCGGCGAGGGGGCTCGATGAACGGGCCTCGACGAGGGGCCTCGGCGGCGGTCTCTCAAGCGAGTCGGAGAATCGTTTGCTTCCATTGGGGCTCGGCGACGGGTCTCTCGGGCGAATCGGAGATTTCGGCCGAGACCTCGCTTGTTTATTCCGTTGGTTCTGCTTTTTATGGTCTAAGCAGTTTTTCGATCTTTGCTTGGGGTACCCCATTTTACGGTATCCGACAAGTAGCCCCAGAGCCTCGGGCGGGAGTGTGGGATACTCTCCCGAGGTTTTGTCGAGACTTTTGTTTCTCGAAGGCTCTTGTCGGGTTTGTTTTATACTTGCGATTCCGGGTGCAAGGCGAAAGCACTCCACCGGTGTAAGCTCTCGAGGCCCTAGAGGTGAGAGCTTACTCCTTTAGGGGCTTTTTTCTTCGTTGAGTGAGGTGCTCTATCGCATTTGCTAGACCCATGAGAGCGAGCTCGGGTCGCTTGTTTTCGTTTGGGGTGCAGGAGGAGCCTTCGAGCCTGCTGAGCCCTCGCGTGCGAGCCTAGGCACTGGGTCTCGGCAAGGTTGCGGGAAGAGCCCCCGAGCCTCCTTGCGTGCGCGAGGGGCGATCAGGAGTTCCCCGGCTTTTTGTACGACCCTCGCGCATCCTTTTCGCTTTCTCGAAGGAGGGTTGTTTGCCGAGCCCTTCAAGGCGTGCGAGCCTAGGCCCCTGGTCTCGGCAAGGTTGCGGAAGAGCCTCCGAGCCTCCGCACGTGCGTGAGAGGGCGATCGGGAGTTCCCCGGCTTTTTGTACGACCCTCGCGCATCCTTTTCGCTTTCGGAAGGAGGGGTTGTTTGCCGAGCCCTTCGCGTGCGAGCCTAGGCCACTAGGTCTCGGCAAGGTTGCGGGAAGAGCCCCCCGAGCCTCCGCACGTGCGCGAGAGGGCGATCGGAGTTCCCTGGCTTTTTATACGACCCTCGCGCATCCTGCTCGCTCGGAAGGAGGGGTGGAACATGCCGAGCTACCCTCGGTGGCGCGAAAGCGATGGCGTTCCGGTGATCTTTTATCGGGTAAGTCCGAGTGGAGGCCCGTGCCCCATTCGATAGGGGTCGGCTAGTGGTCCGTAGACGCTCCCAAAAAAGTACCGAAGGCTTCTCTAGCGGGTGCCGGGCTGTTCGATTGGCCCTAGGGGCTCGGTGCCTCCCTACGGTGGGATCCCTTTAGAGAACTCCTGCTGGTCTTGGACACGACTTAGGGCATCCCAAGCAATCGCTTGCACGGCTCGGCCATGTATGGGCTCGCCCATAGTTGTCCCCGACTCTGTGTGTCGTCTGGGCGGTTTGTCGAGGCCCTGGATGGCCCAAATTTCGTACCCTCGGACCGTAATGGGCTAGGTGCCCTTTTTCGTCGCGCGTTTTTCGACCCTCGGCAAAGGTTGCGGGAAGAGCCCCGAGCCTCCGCACGTGGCGAGAGGGCGATCGGGAGTTCCCCGGCTTTTGTATGCGACCCTCGCGCATCCTTTTCACTCGTAAGGAGGGGTTGTTTGCCGAGCCCTTCGGCGTGCGAGCCTAGGCCACTGGGTCTCGTCAAGGTTGCGGGAAGAGCCCCCAGCCTCCGCACGTGGCGAGAGGGCGATCGAGAGTTCCCCGGCTTTTTGTACGACCCTCGCGCATCCTTTTCGCTTTCGAAAGGAGGGTTGTTTGCCGAGCCCTTCTTCGCGTGCGAGCCTAGGCCACTGGTCTCGACAAGGTTGCGGGGAAGAGCCCCCGAGCCTCCGCACGTAGCGAGAGGGCGATCGGGAGTTCCCCGCTTTTTATGCGACCCTCGCGCATCCTTTTCGCTCGGAAGGAGGGTTGTTTGCCGAGCCCTTCGCGTGCGAGCCTAGGCACTGGTCTCGGCAAGGTTGCGGGAAGAGCCCCGAGCCTCCGCGGGCGAGAGGCGATTAGGAGTTCCCCGGCTTTTTATGCGACCCTCGCGCATCCTTTTCGCTTCGGAAGGAGGGTGGAACATGCCAGCTACCCTCGGTGGGCGCGAAAGTGACATTTCTGGTGAGCTTTTATCGGGTAAGTTCGGTGGAGGCCCGTGCCCCATTCGATAGGGGTCGGC